AACTCAAAAGCTCAGGTGAATTACATTGGGATAAATTTTCATTAGGAACTCGATCTAGAGAAGAGGAATGTGAGTGGCTTATATCTGAAAGAAAGAAGGTCTACTGATATGTTCAGAATCCCCATATGCAGGGAAAATAAACCTTTCTCATCTGAAATCTTGTACTCAATCATCCAAGTCCCTCTAAAGCCTTTTCTCCATTTGCAGTTGCTTCATCAAGACTGCAGAGGTTAGACAACTCCACTGTTCGCACATACTCATGTTGACAAGCCACTCAAAGGAGGCAGCACTGACCTGCTGTGAGTAGTTTCCCTTTGGCTGACAAAAAAAGATAAATAAATAAACAACAACAGAAAGTGTAACCTACATAGACTAGTCAGTCAATATACACTATACTCTTTGGTAGGCCCTAGCAGTACAGAAGCGAGATAACTCTTGAATTGCTTCAGGGGGAAAAGAAATCTTTGTATTTTAACTCTTAGTCTGGTATTTCCTATCACCATCTGTCTTGCTATGGTTTAAGGTCTGCCTGGTGGAGGCCTATCACTGTATTATCACACATCAGTGGGTTACCACTACACTCTTTTCTACTTTTTACTGCCATTTTATTTTGATTCGCATAGCATTTTATTAATAATAATTCAGCACTTTAAAAAACCCTATCGTTTTAAGTGTATATTTTATGTAAGAAAACCAAGGTAGGCAGATAGGGATTTAAGCAAGTTCACAGAGTCAAATAGCAACAGACAGGAAAATGATTTAGAGATGGTTTTATATTAAAAAGTAGAAACTTGCCGAGGCAGGTGGATCACTTCAGGTCAGGAGTTGGAGACCAGCCTGGCCAATATAGTGAAACCTCATCTGTACTACAAATACAAAAATTAGGTGGGCATGGTGCAGCACTCCCATAATTCCAGCTACTTGGGAGGCAGAAGTTGCAGTGAGTGGAGATCATGCCCCTGCACTCCAGCTTGGGTGACAGAGCAAGACTGCCTCAAAATAAATAAAGTAGAAACTGTGAAAAAAAAACTGTTATTACATTGTATCTTATCAATTCAATTTACACTTGCTAAAAACAATTATGAATTTTAAGTATTTGAGACTTATAGGAATGAAATTATAAGAATGGAGGATAACCATCAAGCATTTGATTTTAAGGAAATACTAATTAATGAAAGCTACTTTAAAATCCATATAAAACGAGATTTCATTGAAAACAATCTTAATAGTAAAACTGCGGTTTCCTAGATTCATAAATGTCAAATGTTCATAAATTTTTTTGACCTAAAACCATGGCTTACCAAAATATTTTACCACTTTCAATTAATATTTTGGAAAATACTTTTTAAGAGCAATATTTAGAACCAAATGTGTGCACAGGGATAGCAGAAAGCAGTTATAGACAGAGGAACAGCTTGCCTTGTGCTGTTTCTTCATTGCCTTGAACTAAAAGCTCTACACAGTTTATTGTTGCTCTTTTGGGCGTAAGATGGGAGCAGATACGCTGCCTTGTTTGGATCAATATTTGAAGCTGATAAAAAACATCCAGATAAGAGATATCATTATGTACAACGCTTACATTAAAATTTTAATTACAGTATATAATTTGGAACCTAATTATAGGCATGATTTAAAGTGTAGAATAATTTGCCTAAATAAGAGGCCTCCCAAAATACTGTTTATAATAGAGTCTACACATAGCATTATAATTTCTTCAGGAACTGAACACTTCAGTAATTTACAAATGACTATTCAATATATTCAATAGTGCTTGCTTCTTAGCTCTTAACTGATGGGTAGAGTTACTCTATTTGCAATCTGTTTTTTGTGCATGGCATTCTAGTTCATATTTCCTAGTTTTTAACATTAATTGGGATAACAGTATTCATTTACAATAATTAAATCTAGGATAATTTTTCTTTTGGTAAAACAATAACACTTTTGTTATTAAAATAATGCAGAGCTGACTACTTGCTGTTTCTTTTGTGTCAGTAATAGTAACTGAGCTTTTTCTAAGTATATTATGGCTGAAAAGAATCAGCAATGCCTTACTACTGACACAAACCCTTTAAAATAGGTGACTTATTATTGTTTTTGTCACAAATAAAGGTGTCTTTTTAAGAACTCTAAAATATATGAACTAGAATATAAATCTATATTATGAAATAGGTCAATTCAGCCCAATTTATTAATTAGCAAGTTGTAAATTTTTCAGAAAGCATGCTAACATTTGCATAACTACCTTTGTTTACATTACTGCCATACTTTCCACAAAGTTGAGCAAATCTTACTATTTATTAAGCTCCCCTGAACCAAATTGGAGAAGAGCAAATGTTAATTAGATATAGCTGTTGGCTAGATCCTAGATTTCCTCCCCATGGTGTTTTAGGACAGGAATAAGGCTGCATGGAGGTACCCCACAGAGGAGTAGAATGAGATTTCCCAGTCTGGGACTTTTCAGTGAACTAATGCTATCCATTGTATATTTTAGATGTCGTCTTTTCAGTCTACTCTACCTAAAGTGCACTACCATCTAAGAAGACAAGCAGTGAAAATATTTGTGAAAACTGAATTCTAAGAAACTAATGATGTCATGATTTATTAAAAGCTGAAAAAAATGTGATTTTGGGGGGAGTCAGATGTTACATTTGATTAGTTTACTACAATTGTAATAAAATGCTTAAGTCATTTGAATAATAAACATCATCTACATCATAAACTCTGTACAACAGATGCTTTTATGAAATGAAGCCACTTGTTTTTCATGTTTTATTGTAATATACTAGGCATTTATGTATTACTGTGCATTTCTTTTTAAATGTGTAAGTCTTATGTAAATGGATATAAATATGATTTTTTAAAAAATAAAATATATGGTTCATGGAGTCTCGAGTACAAACATTTGACAATTCTAAGTACTGTTTGTATTTTACCATTCCACCATTTTTACAGTTTTTGAATTGTTAACAGTCAAATCAATGTTTCCTTGAAGCATGTTCCATGCTTCAACATGTTTCTCCTTCAAGTCTGTCAATACTTACTTACTTACTTAAAGCTGAACAACCTGCCTCTGATCATGTAAAAAAGAATGATTTAACCTGGAACTGGAGCCAAAAAATAGAGCTTTAAAGGCAATCAGGGATGTCCTATATCTTTAGAAATAGCACTGTGATGGCTCGATCTCCTTTTCAATACAAAACAAAGCCAACCTGTTTACAAGGGTCAAAAGCAATTATTTAAAAATTTATATTAAAAAACCATTATCTTCTCTTGTTACCTGTGGACCAAGAAAAAAAAAAAAAAAAAAAAAACTTCTTTACTAGAACCACATGTTCATTTAAGTATCTTGAACTGCCAGCCAGTACTGGACAGCGAAATGTCAACCGCCGCAGAGTCTGAGGCTCATTTCCACGAGAAAACAAAACCCAAGAAACCCTTCCCTTTTGTCAATGGAACAGGGCATTAGCCAAACTCATGTCTAATGTTATAAGCTTTCAGCCAAGATGGCCTTGTTGCGACTTCCCTGAAGTCAGTTTATCAGAGGAAATAAATGAAAGACAGAACAATTAACACATATAGTGTATAAAATTATGGAAGAGTAATCTCTTTCCCTGTGGCTTTATTTGGTGGTGTTACTGTTGTTTATTCTTTGTTTATATGGGAGATTCAAAGTAAAACCTATTTACTAATACCATTTATCTAACTGCGGATTTTCTGCTGCTTGATCTTATTAAGCGCAAGACCTGTCATTAGTAATTTTTTTTGTATTTTAATTTGCTATGTTTGCACGTACATTACATTTGTTTCGATGTCTATTTTTGTTTAACAGATTCAGTCAAAAGGTAATGGTAACAGAAACCCTTTCCATTGTCAATAATAAAAAAAATACTTCCAGTTCTCTGTTTAAGCTTTGTTTTCTAGTCACATAAGGCTCGACAATTTACTTAAACTATCAGGAAAATTGTTCTTTGGGTGACTCAAATATTTAGCTTCAAAAGTGAGTCTGCCACAAGAGGGAGTTCTAAACTTGCTTATGGGAGTGATCTTAAATTTTTCTAAAAATGTGGCCTGAGCAGGAACAATGAGAAAGAGCTTTCTACACTCATCTAAACATGGGCATCTTCATTCATAGAAATGAAATAGAACATAGGAACTATGACATTACAATGCCATAACTAGATTCGGATCTACTATTATACATCACTCAACCACTAAAATCAATGTCTTTCTTTTAAAGATATCAAAAGATTAATCATCTATAATACTAACATAGAGTGATGCAAAAGATCCAGCTATTTCCCTCAAAAAAGCATAAAATATGCTTTAATTTATAAGATAATTTCTACCAGATTCGAAAATCGATTTAATGGATTAAGCTCAGAATCTCAACGTGTTACCTTTTGATCATTAACATTATAAATTTTCACATTTTTAATGTTCAGGACCTTTCAAATACAATTTTATATAAGCAAAACTGGTCTTTAAATGTAGGACAGGTCTCACTTAAATATGTTTAATATATTTGCACAAGCAAAGTAACTCAATGAATTGGAAAATACTTTTCTATAACTTTTGAAACTACTTTATATTTTCATTTTTCCAATATCTTACCACAGATTAGATTCTAATATCTTACCTATGGTAAGATATTGGAAAAATGAAATATGAAACATATTTCTTTCATAGTAAGAAATCCTATGAAAATACCAAACGAAGATCACACAGAATTTATTCCAAGTTTACATATGACTGCATTTTTTTAGTAACATCATATTGTTTTTAAAGATATATTTAATTCAGAATATTTTATGTATTATCTAGCAAAAATGATTTATGGTTAGTAATAAAATAGAATATTTTTTACCTCCCAAATTTTAAGCAGTCTGATTATTCAACCATACTTTTCTTGCCCAATTTTTCATCACATAAAAGTAACAACATTCTTTGACCTTGCAAAGGAGATGCATTTCCCCAGTGAGACACAAAAAATAGCCACTTACCCAGTCTCAAGCATTGTTTTCCATTCCCATCCAACTGGAAAATAAGCCAAGTCTGCTTGCTTAGGTGTCCCTTCAGATTTGATTACCAGAAAAAAAAAATGTGCAAGAGGAACAAAGATGCAACCTTTACACAATTCTTGGATCTGCCTGAAATTAAACTTTGCAAATGAACAATGGCACACATTCAGCTAAAGAATTTGCCATTTTGAATTAACTGACTCTTACTTGAAAAAAAATAAGGAAACACATTCTACCGCTAAGACATTAAAAACAAGTTATTAATGAAGACCACAGTTGTGACAATGGATAAAATGTACCAATGAAAAAGACAATTCAAGGAACTCAACAGCTTCAAATTAAAGTGTCTATCTAGTTGCTTTAATTCAGGCTACTAACGTAATTAAAGAGAAAAATTATATATTTTCCAGGTGTAACAAGAAGGCAATTTAATAGGAATTTGCTTTAAGAAGCTATTTATTTTGCAGACTTTAGTCCCAAAAATGTTAACATTTTCAGAATGTTTTTATATAAGTGGTAGATCATTTTTATAACAATAAACCTTCATCTATTGTCTATTTATCTCCCGTATACATTTCATGTACCCAGAGTATTATGCTACAATAGTTGCTCTTGATGATAATGTTCCTGATAGACTAAAAGACTGAGAAATACTTGAAGAATGATCAAAGATACAAAGAGCACAGTATACTTCTGTGTTAAAATGTATTGTTTGATAACTGATATCATATAGATCCCTAAATAAATCAAATATTTAATTTCCTACATCCATCTACTCTAGTTAACTGGCCCATTCCTATTAGCTTAACAAAAACTAACTTTTCAATTATTTAAAAAAATACTTAAGAGATTTTTAGAATTTAAATGCAAAGATACTTTTGGACATTGCAATATTTTTAATGAGTTATTACTTTAGAGATTTTACATTAAAATCAGGATTCTTTGTTCTCTCCTAAAAACCAGAGGCTCGGCCAGGCATGGTGGCTCATGCCTGTAATCCCAGCACTTTGGGAGGCTGAGGCAGGAGGATAAACTTAGGTTGAGAGCTCAAGACTAGCTTGACCAACATGGAGAAACTCTGTCTCTATTAAAAATACAAAATTAGCGGGGCGTGGTGGCTCATGCCTGTAATCCCAGCTACTCGGAATTACCTCTGCAATTCAAGTAGGGTTCAATCGCTTGAACCCCAGAGGCAGAGGTTGTGGTGAGCCAAGATTGCGCCATTGCACTCCAGCTTGGGCAACAAGAGCGGGGGAAAAAAAAAAAAAAAACCCAGAAGATCTTGCAGCAGGAGACTTACCTCTTTTGGGGGCCATATTCTCCTGGGGCTGCTGCTCCCTGAGGTGGAGCAGGAGATCTGCAGTCTTTACATTTTCTGTCCTTTGGTCCTTTGTCCCTCAAAACTAGTGGCTTAAGTTCACTTCAAAATCACCTAGACATTACACTACCTGCCTGTAAACCCTCTTGGTCTTTAACCTAATGTAAAAACCTTGATGTTTCTTTCTTAAGAGTTTTCCTTGCCCCTCCACCACATTTGTACATTGATTCCTTGTTTCCACGGGAATCTGGAATCATTTGGAAATGCACAGCCAACTAAGAGCCTGAGACATTAGGAGGTACTCCCTGGAGCCCTCAAATCCATGAAAATATTGGACTAAATGGTATCTTGGCTGTCTGCCAGGCAAGTGTTTTGTTGTTGTTTTGAGATGGAGTCTCACTCTATACCCAGGCTGGAGTGCAATGGCAGATATCGGCTCACCACAACCTCCACCTCTGCAGTTCAAGCAGTTCTCCTTGCCTCAGCCTCCCAAGTAGTTGGGATTACAGGAGCCTGCCACCTCGCCTGGCTAATTTTTGTATTTTCAGTAGCTACACGCTTTCGCCATGTTGGCCAGGCTGGTCTTGAACTCCTGACCTCAAGTCATCCACCCACCTCAGTCTCCCAAAGTGCTGGGATTACAAGCTGAGCCACCATGCCAGGTCAGATATGTGGTTTTCCTTGCCTAAGTAACAAATGACCTAAAGGTATAGCTATAACCTTGGTGTTCAGCTTTCCCTCAGAAAACGAATAGCTAGAAAAGTCCTCCTAACTGGATAATTTCATCTGTCTAATGATTACCTAAACTTCTCATTTCATCTATTTAAAACAAGAATATTAGAAAATATTAGAAAATATCTAAAGAATATTAGAAAATATCTAAAATTTCTATAAGAAAAATTTGTTATGTTCTGACTTCAAGTTTTAGATTTTGGATCAAAACTACAGATTCTTAGTTTCAGGAAGTGGCTGTATATCAGCATTGCTTTCAATTAAAGTGTTTTACTTGGAGGGTGCAATTTTAAAAATAATACAGTAGATACATTTTTTATAAAGCAGTAGATTACATATAATGAGCCATCTTATAGGCAACTAATAACAATGTTAACAGGGTCCAATCAAACAGAAGGCACAGGTCTTTCACAAGTTTTCATTAGATTTGTTTAGGCCAAGTTTTACAGTTCACATTTCAGTTTGCAAGTAATTTCTACTGAAATATTTATTTCTGAGAAACAACTCAAATATTTTAATTACAATTAAAAAATTAGCTGAAATTGACTCAAAATAGGAATAAAACAAACTCATGATATTTGCTTCAGTATTTCTTCTACATGGCCAAAAATGCTGGGGTCTTCAATTGTAGGGGTTATCTGGGAAAAAAATTAGTGTCAGGTGAATACTCTTCCTTAAATTTATTCTACTCTTTCTATAATTAAACAATTATATGCAATGTTGTTTTCCCCATCTTGTAATATTCATATGGAAAAGTTTAAAAATAGAGAACTTTGAGCCTAATATATTAATACTTATCTATAGTTTTCCAGAGTAAAAAAAATAAACAGTTCAATTAGCAAAAAACTATTGGACCTAGATGTTATTTTCTCTAGAGTTAGAGTTCTTCTTAAGAGTCTTGCATTTCTTCAGAAAGATTTTTTCTTTTTTGGCATTTGTTCACATAACTACTCCTTACTATTGCATTGCCTTTTATTATCTTAATGATAAAAATAGGTATATCTTCACATACATAATGTTAAAATTAAAAGAAAACATATGCTTGAATCAGCCTAAGATTTCCTAAAATAATGTAAAAAATAATTACAAAATTAGCATTTATCAATTAGAACATTTTAAACATCTACTGCTGCCAGCCTCAATTATTTTCCTTTCTCATTCACTAATTGCCATTAATTACTATAATAAGGAAAATGGACCTTGTAATTCAATAGGATTGAATTTCCACAAATTTGTTTGAATTTAACTGACAATTACTAAGAGCAAAAATATTTTGACAGGCAGTAGTGGTTCAGGCCTGTAATCCCAGAACTTTCGGAGGTTGGGGCAGTCAAATCGCTTGAGCCCAGGAGTTCAAGACCACCCTGGGCAACATAGACAGAACACTACCTCTAAAAATACAAAATAAAAAAATTAGCCAGGCACAGTGGCATGTACCTGTAGCCCCAACTACTTGTGAGGCTCATGTGGGAGGATCCCTTTAGAACAGAACTTTGAGGCTGCAGTTCTGGTGATTACACCACTGCACTACAGCCTGGGTGATACAGCAAGACTCTGTCTCTAAATAAAAATAAATATTTTCAGACGTTGGTTCTTATCATCAAAGCATATGTTCTTAACTAATCTGAGTTTCTTTTCAAAACCCTCATCCCTACAGAAGGAATGGCTATATAATTTCTCCCTTAACATTAAAAAAAATGGTACTATTATGTGTTTTCTAGGTATGTAATTTATATTTGAGAACCATTTTTAAGAGCTTTGCTTATGCCAAAGAAATGAAGAAAAATATTCTACAAGCCAAGATTAAATATCTTTGATAAATTACCTTGTATGGCTTGCCATTGACCATGGCAGATAAAGCTGATCGAGGGATTTTTCCAGATCTGGTTTTGGGGAGCTGCTTGACAAACACTGCATTTCGAAAAGCAGCCACAGGGCCAATGCTCTGTCTAACGTGTTTCACAATTTCTTCCAAAACTTGCTCCTCTGTTGCTTTTATATCTAGAGAGAAAGTTCAGATGGTAAGCACTGAATTAACCTTAGTTAATTATTCAGGCCCAAGCATTCAAGGACAAAGATCTCTCACCTTTTCTCAACACACAGAGTGCTAAAGGGACGTGACCTTTTAAAGGGTCTTCCTTGCCAACAACAGCACAGTCTGCCACGGTGCCATGGGAAAGGATTGACTGTAATAAGGAAAGGCATTCATTTAGAATATACATATTTACTACATATATACATTTACCATATAGCCTAAGGTATACAAACATATAATTTCAGCTGGGAAAAAAAGGTACGTGTAAGAGAACCCAAAAATCCATGGCTACCTATTTAAAATTCATAAGTAATTTATATCATTACTACTGAAGTGAATGGTTAGAATCCCCATGGTAGTCACTAAAGGTTGACAGTAATTAAGATAAATTGCTTAGCTTACCTAGAAAGTAAGGAAATGGTTTCTTTGTCTCAATTGTTTATTAATGAAGTCAGAGAAAATGTATAGTGGATACCATGTGTAAACAAACCTCTGCAAACAGGCAGCCTCATGGTGATTTGGCCTTAATGCTGGCTGCCATAAGCATACCTTCCAGAGGAATTCAAGGCTGCCCTATGGCTAACGAATAACTTTATTTCTGAGTCTGTTAGTGAACAATGAAATTTCTTTAGTGGCCATCCATCCAGAGATGATTTTTCAGGACTTGCAAGAGGCTGGATGTGGAAAGAGGCCCCAACATCAGATAATCCCCACTGTTGAAGAACTATACTTATATTGCTCGCCTTAAGTTCACAAGGCTGGCATCTGTCTGAAATCACAAAAGTTGAGTAACCACATTAAATACAGGTGCTTAGGGAGATATGTGTGTGTGTGTGTATGTGTGTGTTTGTGTATGTGTGAAGGGAGATATATGTATGTGTATGTATACACATATGGATATATGTGTGTGTATATATATACATGCATTTTAAAAAGTTTTACGATATATATCACATATGCATATATATGTGTATATATGGATGTATATATGAATATATATGTATATATATACACACATTTTTAAAAGTCTTGTCACCATATATATATGCATATGGTGGTACATATATATACACACACACACACACACACACACACACACACACACATATACACACACACCATATACAATAGACTCAGAAATAAAATTATTAGCCACAGGGCAGCCTTGGATTCCTCTGGAAGGTATACTTATGGCAGCCAGCATTAAGATCATATATATATTCATATATACATATGTATACATGGCGATGAGACTTTTTAAAATGCATGTTCCGAATGTTCTTTTCTAAAAGATTAATATCATTTCAGTGACTCCAAACTCTAATATCTAGATAAAACAGTAAGCAAACTTGTAACCAACAGCACATCTGGCAGTCCTTATTCTTTCTTCTATTCATTCATTCATTCACTCCATAAATATTTGCTAAATGCCTCCTGTGTTGCAATCACTCACTGGTCTCAGGGGTGACCAAAAACAGTCAGCATATTGCTTCAAGATGCTTACAGTCTAGTAGTGGAGACAGATGTTAATAATTATGAATATCTAATAATTCTAAATGTCTAAATATAAAAGTGGTAAGAGCTCTGTGGAATATATATATTGATTGCTATTGCTGTGTATTTCATATATATGTATTTATACATGTCTTTAATATATATGTTTCATATATATGTATATATGTATATTCATATATATATCTTTCACATATATGTGTGTGTGTGTATATATATATGTATATGAAAGACACAGCAATAGCAATCAATTTAGCAGAAAGATACAGGCCTCAAAGAACTTTTTCCTTAGGAAACATCAATGAGCAGATCTGAAGGATGAGTAGATATTTATTAGGCAAGGAGAAGGGGATGAGGCAAAAGCCCTAGGGAAGGACTGCACAGGTACCACTGATACCTCAAAAGGACCAGTGTGGCTGGAAAACAGAGCACACAAAGAGTGAGAATGGAGGATACGGTGCTACAGAGGTGGATAAGTACTGTGCTAGGAACTTCCAACTCATTTTAGCAGCTCTTAAAAGGCAATAAATCATTTTCAGTAGTGAGAAGGAGATGTAAGATCAGAGTAGATGTAATATTGGGGTTTTATGTTTATTTGTTTGTTTGTTTGAGATAGGATCTCACTCTGTCACCCAGACTAGAGTGCACTGCCATTGATTATAGCTCACTGCAGCCTCAACCTCCCAGGCTCAGGTGATCCTCCCACCTCAGCCTCCTGAGTAGCTGGTTCTACAAGTGCACACCACCATGTCTGGCTAATTTTTTGTACTTTTTTGTAGAGATGGGGTTTTACCATGTTGCCTAGGCTGGTCTTAAACTCCTGGGCTCAAGCAATCTACCTGCTTCAACCTCTCAAAGTGCTGGGATTACAGGCATAAGCCACCACACCCAGCTGTGTTTTTCAAATTAGTTTTAGATTCATAGCAAAATCAAACAAGAAAGTAGGATTCTCATACACACTTTACTACTACATATACACAGCCTCCATTATCAAAATTTTGTACAAGCGCAATTTATTTGTTGCAACTGATGAACCAACATTAACACACCATCATTACCCTAGTTCATAGTTTACATTACTACATTATGGTCCACTCTTGTACATGTATAGGTTTTGTCAAATGTATAAGACAGGTATCCACCATTATAGTATCATTCAGAATAGTTTTACTGACCTAAATAGTCCCTGTGCTCTGTTCATTCATCCCCTCCCTTTCCCCTAACCGTTGGCAACCACTGATCTTTATACTCTCTTCAAGGTCCTTTTCCAGCATGTCATATAAGTGGAATCGTTCAGTATGTAGCCTTTCCAGATTAGCTTCTTTTACTTCGAAGTGGATACTTATCTTAGTTTCATCATGTAAAATAAATAAAGAATTGTTGAGGGTAGGTGTCACAGTTTACACGGGAAAAGCACCTGAAAAGATACTACAGTAGACAAAGGTCATGATAGTAATAATAAAGACAAGAATTTCTTTATCAGTAAAATGGACAAAATTTGATGATACGTTGAATACAGAGCATGAGTAAGACAGAGAGTTAAGGACGATTCTGTGGTTTTTGACTTGAGCATCTGGTTGGATGTTGGCATCATTTTTAAGCCAGAAATTGCTAATGAGGACAAGCCTTAGGAGAAGGATTGCATATTCAGTCTTGTGGTTGTTGTTTTTTTGTGGTGCTGTTGAGACATCAGAGTAGAGGCAGTTGTATACCAGAATCTGAGGAGAGGCTTAATCTGCAGATGCATATTGAGATGCCATTAATGTACAGATACTAATAGAAGTCATAGACTTCTTATTTCAGGAGAAAGTAAGAAGAAGAAAAGAGTGAAGCCCTTACAGAACTCCAATATGTAATGGGCACATGAAAAAGGAGAAGCTGGAAAAGTAAACAAACAAACACAGCCAGAGAGGCAGAAAAAAGACTCAGCATGATCTGGTAGCATATGCCATTTTTAAGTCCCAAACTTTCCATGAATAATTTTTTTTCTAATTAGGTCAAACTGAAAATAAGCTTTCTCTTCTCTAAACTGGAAGACTTTATGAACTGCTAGGATGTTGGGTGCAAAGCCAGCATAGTATCTTACTGTGGACCCATTATTGCTTCTATATCATATTATAGTAAGCATGCTGTTTGAAGAGTTGGCTTGTAAAGGTTTTTGTCCACGTAGTTTTTGATTCATGCAGTGCTGAGTGTAGCACATGTTAAATAACTGATTTTTCTAAGATATGCTTTGTTAACTTTTATAGGATTTGCTTAGGCAAAAATGTTCACACCCTTTCCATTAGTTGAGCCTAACTAAAACCTTCTGCTAAATACATACTGCACAAACTATGCAACACCATATTCTCCCACCGCTTCTATATAAACTCTTAAAATGCCCCCAACAGCTCATTTGTTAGCCATTTTTACTTTTAAGACCCATATAGAGAGATCAGAGAGACAAATTTTACTGCCGGATATGTTTCAGTAGTTACTACAGTCAGTCATTAGTCATGAAAAATAATACTTTGTCTGTACCAGATAGGATATAGACTTGGAAGGTTAGATCACATGAATTCTGATGAGTCATTCCTTTAGTGAGTAAAGAACGACTGTTTTTACTGGCTAACCAGAGGTTTAATTGTCAAAAAAATTATTAGGGTTCATTGGTGCCATGACTCTCTGTACCTGAGTTCCTAAAATGCCAAGGTATCTGTTCAAATCACTGATAAAAAAAAAAATCCATCATCCATATATTTTGTCACTTAACCAATAAGACTGTAGTTTTAACTAACTTTAAAATCAAACTTCTAGTTTGCCACTCTTGCACTTTGTTAAGTTTTACTAAGTTTCTGTCCTTGGTCTTAGCACTTTTAGAAGTGAATGAGAAAATGTTGACTGTTTTTCTGTAAAAGCAGGGAGTATTTTAAAAATAAGAAATATATGACAACATTTTTGTAATATAATATTAGAGTTTCCTATTTTTGTCTACTGCAGATAAATTATTTAAAATTGTGAGAAAAAAATCATTTTCAAGAATTCTGTGTCATATCTAAGTGAACTTCACTATTATAGTGGATAAAATATTATTCATCTATCGGTTTTTAAAATGCCATAAAGGAAGAGTGGCAGCTTTTCATGTTGGCCCCACAAATAATATTTGCATGCCAAGTGATGATTTCAACAAATGAATCATTAAAAGAGAAAGCGTCAAAATATGTCTTGGCAACATTCCAGGGACAGAAGCCAACCAAATGTCCTATGGGGGAAAAAATATCAAAATCCAGATTCATGCATTTCCTCCAAATAAAATCTATGCAGCATCTGTGATTAACTCGTATTTAAGTACCTAAAAAAGTGATGCAGCTTAAAAGGCAATAGTCTCACCACAAGAGAGTATATAAATGTTATGGGATAGAACTAGTAACTTCCTGTCATCTGTTATTTCTAAGATATTGCCAATTTTGCATAGATTTTAATGAATTTAAAATATTTCAAGGCTTCACTGAGCTGACCTACACAGGTTTCTCAATTACATTTTTAAGAATCTTAATTTCAAAAATTAGTTCAAATCAAACACCTTCATAAGATGGGAGGAGCCAGTTTGTAATGGATATTATCTATGCAATGGGAAGAAGAGAGATTTTAAAAAATTTC